AAGAGAGATCCTGAATGAGTTAAATGACAGAAGAGGAAGGCGATGAATTACATCCTCAAGGGCATAATCGTATGGTACACTGGCTCTCAAACTTGGCTGCATATTGAAATCATCTGGGGGCTTTAAAAAATACTAATGGCTGGATCCCGCCCTCACAGACTGATGTAATGAGTCTGGGGTAAGACCTGGGCATTGGGATTTTTAAAATCACCTCAGTTGATTATAATATGCAGCAAAGTTTGAGAACACTGTTTTTTTTTTAATTGAAGCCTTATGTACAAATAAGGAAGTGCACAAATCAAACACAGGCAGCTGAATTAATTTTCACAGACTGAACACACTGGCAGAACCAGCATCCCAGTTATGAACAAACCAGCCCCCCCAGAAGTTCCTCGGACCCACTTTTAAAGAGAACCTACCTGATATTCAAGATTTCTGTCTGCTTATATACTCATATATTTGGAATCATAATCAATATTGAGTCTCTTTGTTTTGGGAAACATATGGACCAGAGAAGATAGAGTCACATGGAATCCACTCTGGAAGGCTTCCTGAAAGAGGCAGTATTTAAGGGAGTATTCAAAGGAGGCAACAGATTAAAGAGAGGAAAGACTTTAAAGGCAGGGAAGTTGGGGAAGGGAGGACAGCATCAATGGGAAAGAGGCACGCAGGCTGAAGTGCTATACAGCCCTACTTATTGAAAGCCCCAAGATATATTTAAAGTTCATCCTTCCTTTCAAGTATGCTCAGCTCAGTATTCATTCATTCCACAAATTTTTACTGAACACCAGTCCTGCACTGGACTTGGATATACAGGTAAATGTAACTTACATTTTAATTAGGGGAGACAGATAATAAACAGGCAAGCACATGAAGATACTTACATGTGCCCTGTAACTGCCATGAAGGATGAGAGAAAGAGTAGGACAGATCAGATGGGCAGAAGGAGGTGACATCTGAGTTGAGAGTGAAGAGGAAAAACAGAGTTAGGGGAGGCGTCTTGCTGGAGGAAATAGTAAACGCAAAAGCCTTGAAACCTGTACAGGAGGAATGACAGGAATGAGTACGCTTGGGAATGTCACAGGCTACCCCAGTGTCCAGCAGTTAGGGCAGTGCCTGGTGTACGGTAGGCACCCGATGAATACTTGTTTTAATTGCACTGGGTTGGAATCCAGTGGTAAGACACTCAAACTATGCCCCCCAAAAGTACTGCGATAGATGCTTTAATGGGGCATTCACCTGGGTACTCTGAAAACGCTCCACAACCACCCTTTTGAGTGAATCCAAGAATAGACGCCCTGCCTGTCCATTGCATGCAGCAACTTCGACTAACTTGATTTGCTCGTTACAAAATTCAGCCCTTGCACAGGGCACTTCCTGTGCCTGGCACCTTATCAGTCACCTGGGAACTTCCAAAATTTTAGATTTTCTGGGCCCACCCTGGGATCTAATTTAATAACTCTGGGGTGCGGCCCGTTCTTCTTTATCTTACAAAAAAACAAAACAAAACCCTCCCCTGGTTATTCTGATGTTGAGCCAGCGTGGGAATAAGTGTTCTGGAAGATACGGTTGAGTCATTCCTATCAGTTCATGCTGTTACACATCCCAGAGTCTGAGTGTGGGATCCTAGGATGCTAAGTTCCCTGGAGACTTAACCATTATCCCAAGCCACCAACTCTTGGAAGAAGTTCCCCAAAGTGTCAGAGTCTGTGGTTTAGTGAAGTGTTCTGTAAATTCTAGTCACGCCTGTGTTACCTTCCTGATATTTTGCCGTCTTCACATCCCACCTGAACTGCGACTTATTCTCTGTCGTTCCTTAAGTATATTTATTTTTAAAACCCATAAATTATATTAAACTTTGCATTGCTACCATAATTGGAGAGCAGTATCTTTCTCCAAGAGAGGTAACCTTAAAGTGGATTCACTGAAAAACAAACCATCTTTTAGAAGTCCAGCCAGGGATTCTTGCCCCTCCCAAACTTCTGAGCCAGAGATCTGTGGTTTCTTGGTAGAAAATAAAAGTTAGCCTGAAGTGGTAGGCATAAAGACATCCTAGCACCAAATGGAGACTTTCTCAGATTGAACAGGAAACATAGCCTTCGCGCTACGCGGTTCGATGCTTTTCAGTGTTACGCCTACACCGCCGAACAACATCTGGGTACCACTGTGTCGTGAACCCCACTGGCATAGCCCAAATCTTTTTTGTTGATAACCAGCCTATATACTCTACAATAGTAGCAGTAGAGAAAAAAAATTAATGAAAGAACACTCCAGAAGTGTGGGTCCAAGAATAAGTGAGTAGCCAGCTGAAAGGAAGCTTTTGCAGGAGGTATTCAAGCTCCCTCTGCCCCATATATAACCAGCTGCTGAGAAAGAGGAAGGAGTGGAGGTCACACTTGGAGAAGAACCCCAGAGAGAGAGGCTTGGCGAGATTCTGTAGCTCAGAGTCAATGACTCCAGCCCATTTTCCTCCTGATTCACTCCAGCGCTGGGTCCAGCCTCTGAACTCCCTCTTTGCTAGTTCCCAGCCTTTTGGATGTCATTTTACAGAAGTTTTCTGAAGGCAAGGATCCTGTCTGAGGCATTCCAGCATCTCCTGTACTCAGGGCAACACCTGGCACCCAGTGCAGTAGATGTTTGTTTGTTAAGTGGTTTAATGGAACACAAATGCCAAGTCAACAGGCATGGGGCTTCAACAGAATGTGGAAGATTCAAGGTGAGCGTGCTGCAGTCTTGGTCTTCTTTCTGTTCAGGTGTGAAGGCCTGAGCCTCTAACTGTGGTTCCTGAATGAGACGACTGGGGTTTTTACTTGATAAGCTGCAGTTCCTACCACAGGGCTCCGTAAATGTGTGTTGGGTAATTAGAATTAATTAGTACTAATACCGTTTTTGCTGACATGACCAGCTATGAAGTGGGGTTTTCTCTGCCTCAGTTGCCTGAGGACTAGGCTGGGATTGGGTGGGGTTGGTCATGGGTGGAGGCCGCTTGGGTGACTTAGAGTAAATGAATTAATAATTTGCACCATATACGTGAGAAGGAGAGACGAACATTTGCCTCCCGTACAGGGATGTTAAAAATGATTAAACAGCACTTTGCAAACACTGACAATAACATCTTGCGCTGACTGGTAGGATGAGTAAAGCTATATTTCCTATGGCCCAAAAGAACTGTTCAGAAAAACATTTGCGGTACAGGGCACCCTTGGTAACTCCCCGTGAGCAAGGGGAAAGTGACAGGCAGGTGGGTTGTAGGCGGAAGCTGTCCCGAAACATACTGGTCAGACCTTAGTTGCAGCAGGTACATGGTAGGGGTCAGGAGTGAAGAGTGGGCACAGGTCAACCATCACAATGAGCGCAGTAACACTGTCACCCCTTGAACTCCTAAATTATTTTAATTATTATTTAATAACTAAGCCTGAGTTGGCTTTATATTAGCAATTTGGGGTACGTCTGATTCCAAAAGAACACAGGCTTTTTAAGCAGAAGTTCTCAAACTGGAGAGAACAGGGAATTCACTTGTGGGTTTGGGAGTTGCTTGTTCAAATTTCAGATTCCACAGCCCTTACCCAGAAGTTTGTGATTTAGAAGTTCTAGTGACAGGAGCCCTAGAAGTTTCCGATTCAGAGATGGAGGTGTGATTTTTGCCCCCTGCCCCCACCCCAGGGGACACTGAGCAATGTCTGGATACAATTTTGGTTGACACAACTTGGGGGTTAGAGTCTGGCAAGTAGTGGGCAGAGACCAGAGATGCAGCTAAACACCATACAATGCACAGAACAGCCTCCAAAGCAGAGAATTATGGCCCCCAAATGTCAAGCGTGCCAGGGTTAGAACACCTTCTGGAGTGAGGCCTAGGAATGTGCATCCTAACAAGGGCCTCAGGGTATCTTAATGCGGGAAGAAGCAGCCCTGAATTGGAAAGACTTAGACAATGCCTGGCTGTTTATTCTAAGGATATGCTGTCGGAGTTCCCTTTCCATTTTTAGGATTCTCCTCCATTTTTAGGATTCAGCTTTGACTTGACTCTCCCCATGAAGCCCTGCTGGTCACTAACCATCCTCCAGTCCTCTACGTCCAGGTTAGCTGTCCCTCCTAAGTACACCCCTTGTCCCAGGAGGCCTCACTTGCTCTTTTAGTTGTTTGTCTCTCTCACTGGTACAAGAATGCCTTGAGGGCAGGGTCCAGGTTCAGATCTGTCCCCAGCACCTCAGAAGCTACCTGGCCCACAGCAAGGCTCCCTAATCACATGTTGGCTTGACTCTGCCTCAGCTCGAATGACATCTCTTGCACTGAGGCTAGAGCTACCCCCTCTTTCATACACTGTCACCAGACCCTCTTTTAACACCATAGAGCTTATCACTCTGACATCATCTTATTTATTTGCTTACTTTTCATTCATTCAAGAAATATTTTATCGGGCACCTACTATATGTCGTGGCCTTTGCAGTCACTGGGGATAAACAGTAGAGAGTCAAAAACCCCTCCTTCCAACAGAACTTAAATTCTAGAGGGGAAGTTTGGACAATAAACAGAGTAGAAACATCGTATGTAATATATGTGATAATATGTGTGACATTGATAAGACCAGTGGAGAAACATAAAATAGAGAAATGGGGTGGGGAGTGATGTGTGTGTGAAAGTTTAAGTAAGGTAGTCCTCTGGGAGACGGTGACATTTAAGCAAAGATGAGGTATCTGGGGGCTGCTTGTCTGCTCCCCCATTAGAATATAAATACTAAGAGGGCCAGGAGCTTCCCTTTCTCTATGGCTGCAGTATCTCCAGAATAGGCACCTAGTAGGTGCTCAATAAATATTATTGTTTAAATAATAACAAAGAGAGGATTGTTTGATTAAATTATCACAGAGGCAGCTGGGAGATTCTTGATTTTATGACCATCCAAGTATTAGCAAGAAGGTGAGAGATACAGGGGCATTACATTTAAGGGGGTGGGGAGGACATCTCTGCAGTTAGGAGATTTAGAGGATGGTGGTCATCACTCTAAAGTGTCCATGCACTTCCCTACCAAAAATTAACCTAAGCTCTCATGCTCCTAATATTGTTAATGGTCCCATTAATGGTCCCTGCGGGTCAGCCTACCTGGCCCCCTGCGTCTGCCTCCATCACCCGGCCCGCTTTCCTCCCACATCCCCTACCTTCTCGTTCCTTCCGCGAGAGGTGTCCCCGCGCGCAGTGGGCACGTCCTCGCCTCAGCGAAGAGGGCGCACGAAGGAGCCAGCCCGGGTGGTTCGCCCGGGTCCCCGCCCCCAGCCCTGCTCCCCGGCGGGACACTGTCCCTTTAATAGACTCCCTCTGCCTGGCGCTCTGCGGCTGGGGAGTAAATTTCTCCCTGTCATCAGGTCGCGGGGAGAGGAGGAGGAGGAGGAGTTTGTTAATGTTCAGTTTGTTCAGCGGGATCGATGTTTGCTGGCATCGCCTCGCCCTGTCTTGTGTGTGTGTGAGAGAGTGTGTGTGTGTGCGTGTCTGTGTGTGTGCGTATGTGGGGGGTGTGAGTGTGTGTGTGTGTGAGAGGAAGCAAGAGTGCGTGCGTGTGTGAGTGTGTGTGTGTGTGTGTGTGTGTGTGTGTGTGAGTGTGTGAGTGAGTGAATTCCAGATTTTCTGTCTTTCCCAAACCCGCTCCTGTCCTCTCGCATATCACTCACAGGCGGGGATCTGACAGCAGCCACAAACCTACAGTGAGTGATCTCTCTCTGCCCCGGCACGAATCCGCCATAGAGATCGGCGAGGAGGAGGAGGAGGAAGAGGAGAAGGAGGAGGTGGAGGAGGAGGAGGAGGAGGGAAAGAGGAGAAGGAAGAAGAAAAAGAAGAAGAAACCACTACCTTCCCAGGATTGCCTTTTTTTCCTTATCTTTACGCGCGCGTGTGCGTCCCTCGCCCCTTCCATCCGAACCCGGTCTTGGATGTTAATTAAAGAATACAAGTAGTCTCAACAGTCAAAAACCAAAAAAAAAAAACCAAAACCAAAAAAAAAATTTCCAAAAAAGCAAAAACAAAAAGAGAGAAAAGAGAGAGGAAAAAAAATCCAAAACAAACAAATAAACAAACAAGGCAGAACCAACCTCTACTTCAAACCAGCCGGCACAGCCACCCGTTTCTGCCACCCAGAGAGGGGGGTCTCTGGCCCGTGGTGGAGGAGTTGCAGGGGGGATCGTCAGGGGGACAGAGGCCGAGTGACGCCCTAGGAGCCACCGGGCAGGAGGCGGAGGAGCCCCAGAGAGGCGAGAGAGACAGCGGGCCCCCGCGCGCGGCTCGGGGCTGGGGCGCCAGAAGTGGGACTGGAGCGAAGTAGAGCGATGCCAAGGAGGAAACAGCAGGCACCCAAGCGGGCGGCAGGTAAGAGAATCGGCTCCGCTTCGGGGCCGCCCTGCCGGGCTGCCCGGTGCGCCGAGCTCCTCGCCAGCCCCCCTCGCCCTGGGTGCCCCAGGACGCCACCCCCCTTAGCTTTCGGGGGAGTTCGCTCCGGGTGCCCCTCTCTGCCCCGATAATAACCCCATCCTCTCTCGTCTTCTCCAATCTCCCACATCCTCCCCTTTCCAGGCTCGGGTTGGGAGGGTGGGGAGAAGCTATCCCACCAAGCCTTCCCTCCTTAAACTTTTTTTTCCTCCACCCTCTACCCCACCCCTAACTTTCTCCCAGTCTGCTTCTTGCCTCTCGGGCCAAAGTTGGGTTGAAGATTTGGGGTGCAGAGTGGGGAGACAGTCCTTCCACCCCCGCATCCCTCAGCGTGGTCAGTGTCAGTGGCTTCTGGCCTCCAGGGACAGTCTCTTCTCGCTGGGCTTTGGGGCGCTGAAGTGTGAGCCATGCCCCAGCCCCGGGCTGCAGGCTGGCTTTGGGGCGAGCAATAGAAGTTTAGCTTTAATCGCCAAGGTGGAAAAAAATCACCCCAGGAAACCAACAAACCTTTGAATATGTTTTCTAAAAGGATCCACGTTTGGAAATCTAATCAACACCCTCCCTTCTCTTAAAAAAGGAAAAAAAAGAATTCCCCATGAACATTGAAACAGCTCTGGATTTTCTTTGCACAAAGTGAGTTGCAAACTTTGTAAATTGCTTTGCATGGTAGGAACCATCCCATCTGAATTTTTACTTACCATCCCCTCCTCCAAAAAAAAAAAGAGAGACAAGGAATGGTTAATGGATCAGTACATTAGATCTTGTAAAGGATTTTTTTGTTCTTTTGGGTTACTTAATTGCTTTTTTAATAGTATGCTGGGGTTTTGTTTCTCGGAAGTGTAATATGAAAGTTCATTTTTCTCCTGCCAGACCCACCCACTGAAAAATCAGCTTTCCACTTGATTGCTAGTTTTGATTTGACATTTGATTGATCACCTGTCATCTCGCTGCCTTTGATCTATTCATTCTTGATATATATCAATAAATCACTCACCATGGTAACTCAGAGTGCCAGTGACGCAAGCCTTGCCCTCTGGATTCAGAGCCAGACATGCACAATTATTATCTTGTTTGGCTTTTAATGTGGGCGTTTTTATTTCTTTGTGTCCTTCAGTTGAATTGGGCTTTAGCAAAAAGCTTGTTTTTTTCCCCCTTCTTTCTGTGTTTACCTTCATGCTTTACGCAGCATCAGTTGAGGCTGGTCTTCTGCAGACCCACCATAATATTTCCTTATGTTCCAACTATAGCGAAACATTAAGGAGAAGTTCAGTGGAACACTTTCATAAACTTTGCAAAGCCACCCTCAGAACAAATCCAAAGTTAGTCACAAATCTGGGCAAAGTGGGTGTTTGTGTCTGAACATGCTGGACCACCAAGCTCATCCTCCATCGTGGCCTGATTCCAGCACGAATGGCAGTACATGTGCTTTGAGATATCCACAATTATCTTCCCTTCTGAGCGCAGAATTGCTTCCGTAACCGTGTATAGATTGCTTCAGATGGCATGGGGAAATATCATTTATAAAGCTTTGATTCATATATTTTCCAATTGTTTCTCCAAGAGCAAAATAATTAAAATATTTTTAGTACCGTGTATATTTAGAACTTGCCTAGTCAGGGAAGTGTTCTTTTTTTTTTTTTTCCGACTCTAGCTACCTCTTTTGCAAACAGTTTCTTCCTCCTACCCCTGTCCCTCTCTGCATTTAACTCACTTATCTTTTAAAACTTAGATTGCTTTGCAGTCTGAACAGCATGGGGGGGGGCGTGCACTGGCCTTTCAGACTCAGAAAGACAAAGCCCACTTACTTCGTCTGGTTCTAGCAACATAAGTTTAAGTGTAGCTAGATTATTAGAGATAATGTCCTTATTGTCCCAAAAGAGAACCCTGGGCAAGAGTCCAGCAAGAAGTGATATTGCCCTGAAAATTACTCTTTTTTTTTCCCCCTTGTTGTTCCGGTAAAGGCCATCAACAGCTAGGCAGTAATTTAAATTACCAGAATAACTGGACATGTCTCCTTTGGTAAGCTCATTACAAAAAGTGCATTGCTCAGAATCGCACTACTTTGATTATAATTACCCTCTGATCAATGAGGATCCAGGTGTATGTAACATAATGCTGTATCACATTATTTAAATTAGACCCTTTTCTTTAAGCTGGTATCTGTTGGAGCTAGCTTGTCTGTTTACTGTAGCGTGTGTGTGTGTTAGAAAGTTCTGACTGTAGTTTCAGTTTTCTGGGCCTATTGTATTCCTGGTGTCTTTATATGTTTGTTTTCATGGCTTTTGTTTTTTTCACTGGAAGAAGTGGAAACTGGTGTCAAGCTGAAAGGGAATAATTCATTTTGTACACAGTGAGGTCCCTCTTAATGGTATTTATTTGTCCACATGTTACTAAAGCAGATATTTTTTTCATGTAATGGTTCTTTTCCTCTGAAGTCATCGGTGCTGTACTCTGCTTTAGCTAAGGTGGTTATTCACAAATAAAGTTAGCCACTTTGAGAATTCTTCAGCCAGTTAACATCCAGGGAGAGGAACAAGGTGGATTCTAGGATTGTGGCCATACTAACTTTTATCACTGCTTAAAATTAAACATGATACACAACTGTAAGTAATTATTCCCATGGGCTGATGTTGAAAGCTTGATTTCTAGCTTGATTAATGAATAATGTAAGATAAAAAAGCCTGTGAGTGAATCAGAACTGAGACTCTCTTTCCCAAGAACTATTCGCTGTTCGAGGCAATTTGATTCCTTTGCATTATTAGTTTTAAGTTCCATGATTCAAGAATCAGTTACGGAACTTTCTAATAAAGCAGGTATGCGGATAGGATGGGGGAGATGATGTTATAAGTGATGGAGAACGTTAGTCTTTACTGGTTATATTCCTCCCCCCTTTAAGGTTAGGGCTGTGAGGTAGGCAGTTCTCTTTAAGGAAAAAGCTAAGTCAGAACATTTCCCTCCGAAATGTCATTCTTCCTGGCTTTCTAAAGCTATGCTATTCCACCGTACTATTACTTCGGGCAAGGAAAAAAAGTTTAGAAAGCAGCCTGCAGTACCCTAGGGATCTGTGTTTGTGTGAGTGTGTATGCCTGCTTCCTTGGATATATATTTCACTCAACACTAAAATGTATCTACTTTTACCTGGAAATATTGCAGGATTCTGTACCAGCATCTTTTCCCTCATCCATTGTAGGGAAGATAGCAGAAAGGTAAAATAAAACAGAACCGTGTTTTGATTTGTTTGTATTTTGCAGGATGCTGAGTAGTTAAAAATTTAAAACTGTAGGCTTACACTCCGACCCTTCTATTTTCTAAAATCTACCGCAGCCTCTGTGCACACACGTGTGTAATACATATTTTATTTCACCATCCTGAACTCTCTTTTTTATATAATGCCAGCCAATTGCAATAGGACGCAAAATCTTTGGGGATCACATACACATGACTGTCTCATATATGTATAAATTATAGGCTTCTGCTCCTGCCCATCCAGAGACATTAAATGTTTTCTTCTTGCTGACTCTCAGAAGCTATCTGATAATCCAGATCTGAGAAAAGTCTTGAAGGAAAGAACAGCTCCCTCAATTTATTTTGTTTATTTAATATGGAGATGAATAATGCAGATTTTGTTTTCATGAATGTCCTTGTGTGGCAGTAAACATTAGACTATTAGCAATCATTACTTAAAAGTTGCAATTTGCACCTTAATAGCACAGGGTATTTACATGGGAAACATATTCAGCAGGGACAGTTCAGAATACTGCAGTGGAGTATAGCGATGACCCAAGCCATCGCCTTTTCAACCTCCCGATGGCAATGACTGGATTCGTGGGTGAGGTCTTAGCTATCTAAACCGGCAGGGCAGGGAGGGGCAGACAGCTCAGAGTGAAGTTTACCTTTGATTCATCGGTAAGTGGAACCGGAAGGGGTTCAAGAGAATAGGAATCTGATGGAGTCTGGACCCTGGCACTCTCACTTTGTTTAAGCATATTTCGAAAAGACCAGTTGACATCTTGAAGATTTAAATACCTCATGCTATAGGCCCCTCCACTTATCCAAACAGTATGATTTTGAACAGATGAATGGAAAAAATAAACACATATCCCCAACCCCAAAGGGGCTCACAGCGTGAACTGTTCAGGCTATTCTTATTATTTAAGGCAGATCCCTGAGAAAAGGAAGGATAAGCTTGAAATCACATCCTCCACATGGTGTTTTGGATGGAAATTGATTGCTTAACTGGTCCTTTTCCCACTCCCCTCCTGATTCCCTTCTCCCCCTCCTCACTTCGGCCTTAAAAACCCAGATTGAATGGGACATCTCAAAAGCCCATTTGTTTTAGGCATTTATTGATTTCATTTTTAATCTGCCATATCAGGACACAATACATTAACCCTAATCAGCAGATTGCAAGTGACAGGGAGTTCTAGTGGAAGCCAGGTAAGGAAGAGGGGTCTGAGAAACTTCTCGACAATGAAAATCTTCTTGAAGCTTCGGGGCTGGAGACCAGCGGCTACTTTTGAGGAGGGTAGAAGCAATCCTCAGAAATGCTCTGCACTTGTTTTTCTCCCACCTTACATTTATTTTCTCCTGGATTTCACCTAGATTCTATTGCTACCATTCAGGAAACCTTCACACCCCACAAATCCCTCCTAGGCGTCTTCAGCAGGTCTGTCCCTGGAAGCATCTTGCCTTTTGTCACCTCCTCCAACAGAGGCTTATCCTTTCATTTCATCCCAGCTGACTTCTCACTCATTTGACAGAATTTCTCCAACTGGATAATACCTGGGTTGATCTATTTATCTTTCCAGTGGCTTGGGAATTGTACTCTCAATTGAGCAGGTTTTAAAGGGGCACTGAGCCTGGCATTATTTAAGGCCATTGAAATGATGCACTTCTGCTCATCGCTGCCGCTCAGCTTAGGGAAATCATCCAGGAAGAAA